GTGTGTGTGTGTGACCAGCTCAGCCCACCAGGGGGTGGGGCTGGCTGGCATGTGGTGCTGGGGGATTGAACCGCGGTCCCTGTGCTTTGTCAAGCTTGTTCCAAGTAGGTGCTTTAGACCACTGAGCCATCTCGCCAGCCCCTAAATAAATAAATTTTATAAAATTTTTTTTAAAAAAGAAAAGCCATTCAGAGAGGCTGAGGCAGAAAGATCACAAGTTCAAAGTCATCCTGGGCTACGTAGTGAGCTCAAGACCAGCCTAAACTACATATCAAGACCCTATCTCATGCCATGCTGGCCCTGCCCCCAGGGCACGCTGAGACGTTGATTGAGACTGGGCACGCTGGTGCATGCCTGTAATCCCAGCACTTGGGAGGCTGTAAATAGGAGAATCACTGAGTCTGATCTAGTAGTGAGAGACCCTTTCCTAAAATACAGGAAAAAAAGACCTTATCTCAAACAAACAAACAAGAACATTAAAAACAAAAACGAAAAACAAGAAAAAAGTCTGTATATTATTATCATTATTATTATTTGCATTTGTATTTTAGTACAGGGTCTACAGGGTCTCACTATGTAGATCGGACTTGTAGTGATCCACCTGTTTTCAGTCTCCCAAGAGCTGGGATTACAGTGCAGGTTACCATACCCAGTCTCAATCAACAGCTCAGCATGTCCCAGAGGTGGGGCTGGCATGGCAGGCGGGAGATCAAACTCTGGCCACTGTGTCTGCCTAAGCAGGCACTTTAATCCACTGAGCTATTTGGCTGGCCCAAAAGTTTGTATGTTAAATGACCCATTTTTTGTTGGTCTGAGGCAGGATCTCTTTGTAGTGCAGGCTGGGTCTTGAGCTCTGCAACCCAAGGTGTCCTCAAACTCCAAGAGATCCTCCTGCCTCAGTCTCCCAATACCCATTCTTTAAACTACCTTGTCCCTTATATCTAGCCCTGTCTTTCTTGCTCTCTCTGATTTCAACTTCTCTGGACTGGAAACAACTAGAAGGATCCCTCCCCCCATATCAGAAAGCACCTGAATGAGAGCAGGGATGATGCATGTCCCAAGGGGAAGGACAGAACTTAGGGCTTGGACCCTAGTCTTACACCCTGCCAGCTTCACCAAGTCATGTGCCCCCAGAACACACCCCTTTCTACTCTCTTCTCTGCTGGCACCGTCTGCGTCTCCTTATCTGCTCCCTTCCCCTCTCCCTTTGTGCTATCTGGCATCCCTGGTCTTCCTTTCCCCTCTGCCATTTGCCCCTCTCCTCTCATTTCTGCTTATAAATGACTGCTACGCCCAACTGCTTCTGGGCCATCAGCCCCAGGCCCTCATTCCAGCCTCGCACTGTGTGCTTATTGAGCACCTTGCCCTGGGCTGTGTGCTGGAGATCCGGCAATAAGCAAGGTGACCCTTTGCCTTTGAGGCTGAGTTCCAGAAAGAAGAGAAGAATCTTCTCTTCATGTGTAATTCTAATAGACTACACATGAGGACACAGGGCTTTTGGGAAGAAACCCCAAGCAGTCTCAGTGAGCTCCTCTTTTGAAGGGTGAGCAGGAGCTCTCTGGCAATCTAGACTGTGTTTCAGGTATTAAAAAGTAGGGAAGCATAGGCCACAAGAGGAAAGGGTAAAAGGTGAGGAGGGATATAGATGAGAGAGAAAAGGCAGAAGGGTTTGAAATTGACAGCAAGGTTACAAAAGGACAGGTGTGGTGGCACACACCTGTAATCCCAGTACTTGGGAGGCTGAGGCAGGAGAATCACTGAGAGTTTAAGGCCAGATGGGCCACATAGTGAGTCCAGGCCAGCTGAATTACATGGGTCTTTCAAAACAAAAACAAAAAGACAGTGATTTCTGGAGGAGAATTATGGGATCAGACTCTTTTTTTTTTTTTTGGTACAGGGGATTGAATGGAGGGCTCCACATATTCTACAACTGAGCTACATCTCTGGCCATTCATTTGTTTGTGTTTTGAGGCAGGGTCTTGCTTTATAATGTAGACTGGCCTTGAACTCAGTGATCTTCTTGGCAGCCTCCCCAGCGCTGGGATTATAGGTGTGCACCACCACACTTGGTTTCCAGGCCCAGAAAGAAGAATCTTCTCTTCATGTGTAGTTCTGATAGACTAGACATGAGGACAGAGGGCTTGCATGCCAGGGAAAGTGGTATCAGGAATTGAACTCGGTACCTTGCACTTGCCAGGCAGGTGCTTATGCCACCGAGCTATCTCCCCAGCCCTATTTATTTTGAAGACAGGTAGCCTAATTACTCAGTCTAGGTATGAGTTTTTGATCCTCCTACTTCAGCCCTCCAGAGTGCTGGGGTTACAGGTTTGTGCCATCTTGCTCTGCTAAGATATTAGACTTTTGAAAATATCACTGTCTTTTTTTTTATGTATTTGGTACAGGGTCTCAAAACGCAGCTCGGACTTGCAGTGATCCTCCTGTTTTCAGCCTCCCCACCGCTGGGATTACAGGCACGTGCCACCCTGCCAGGATGCGTTTGCTGCTCAGCACACCCGGGTGTGGGGGCCAGCGCAGCATGCGGGACCAGGGATTGTCCGCTGAGCTATCTCACCAGCCCTCACTCTGTCCTCTTTTTAAGAAGAGGAAGAGGAAAAACAGTAAGACCACTCAAGTCATTATGGTTTACACTAACGTGGTAGTACTACAGCTGGAGAAAATAAGGTAAGAGGCAAAGGAAGTCAAAATACTAGCGTTGGGGAAGGGGTGCAGGGCAGGAGTCGAGCTGATTCCAGCACAGGGGTGACTGGGTGATTACTTCACTGGGCTAAGGTGGCCAGAAGGAGGTTTGGACACGTGAATCACGTAACAGCTCCATCTAAGCAGAAGCTGGACACCTGGAGCTGGAGTTCCTGAGAGGCTGGCTTTGGATACAACGAAGCCTTAGAAAAGTCGTTGGCGAACCCGGTCCAATCCGTGACTCCTTACTCTCCCGCCAGGTGGCACTGCAGCCCCGCACTTCTGGCATCCGCTTTCTGAGCTGCGTTCTTTCGGCGCTAGATTTACCGTGGATCTCCCGAGACGCCCCGACTCTAGGTCGCGTCCTCCCGCTGGGATTTAGTTAGGCATCCAAATCCTCCCGAGCAGGTTGTGGAGAGCGTGTTGTCCACGCGGCTCTCACATGCATGACGGCTCAGGGGCCCCGGGGCTGCTGGCGCGGTCTGGATGAGCACCTATCCCTGGGCTACCTCCAGGAACCAAGGGCCTCATAGGAAGTGCCCAGAGAAGCGAAATACGGAGAAGACAGAGCCATAGAAACAGATAACCAGATCCCTCGTGTAGTTTCCTGGCCTCCGGGGCCAACCTGGACCTGGAAGCAGATAGCAGAGGGGAAAGGAAGACCAGGGATACCAGATAGCACCAAGAGAGAAGGGCAGGGAGCAGGCAAGGAGAAGCCGATGGTGCCAGCAGAGGAGAGTAGAAAGGGGTGCGTTCTAGGAGCACATGACATGGTGAAGCTGGCGGGATGTAAGACTAGGGTCCAAGTCCTAAATTCTGTCCTTTCCCTTGGGACATTATTTATTTATTTATTTATTTATTTTCTGGTATTGGATGTGGAACTCAGGGCCTTCGCACTGTGCCTTTTTTTAGACAAGACCTCGCTAAGTCGCTAAGGCTGGGCTCAAACACTTGAGACCCTCCTGCCTCAGCCTCCCAGACTTCGGGGATTACAGGTGTGCACCACCCCGCCTTGTTTTCGCGGACTCTTTAAGGCTTCATCTCCCTGCCCTCCCCCGCCCAGGACAGGCCGGGACACCCGGGAGCTGACATTTGCCTGCGCCTAACGTGGGTGCTAAAAATAGCCTACCCGGGTTACTTCGGGGCATTGTGCCTCACCCACCCTCTCAGCGCGCGCGCTCTGTGTCACGCCTCCGGTGTTTTCCCCTTTCCCGGCAGCTATACCTGGCCCGTCCCCTCTTCTCTGTCCCCACCGTCCCAGCCGCGGCGTTAAGTTAGGGAGAAATTTCTGCCTCTGGGAAACTTGGCTTGTGGGCGGAGTCTTCGCACGTGGGTGGGCGGTACCTTTTGTTCCAAGGACACGGCTCTCTATTGCGGCTTGAAGCTGGCGGGAACCCGAAGGGCGTGTCTCGTCGTGCTCGGTGAGGGGGCGTGGCTTCACCTGCCAGCCCCACAAACTGGAGCCAAACTCAAACCCCAGGCTCAACCGAGGGCGTGGCCTCCTGGGGTGTGCGGGCTCCTGGCCAATGGGTGCACTGAAGGGCGTGGCCCGTGCGGGGCGGGAGTGAGGGGGCTCCTCGCGTCTTTTTCCCCGGCTGGGCTCCTGCAGATCCCCGAGAGCCCCGCTGCTCTCCGGCTCCGCGGCTTGTGGTCGGGAGGGTCCCACCACGCCCGCCCTCCGCACATCGCTCCGGGACCCTCGTAGTGGACTCGGCTTCTGCCCGCCAGGCTCGGGCCACAGACCCCCACCAGTCGCCTGTCATCATTGCAGTTCCTGCGTCTCCAGCTTTTCTAACTCAAGATGCCGTCGGGTTTCCAACAGATCGGCTCTGAAGTAGGATTCATCATGTGGGGGCGGGACGGAGGCACAGATCCTCTTTTCCTGGGCTGGGGTCGTGCTTGAGGTCAGGTAGGGGCGGTCCCTGCGCAGGCGCAGGGTGTGCGAGTGGGGGTTATCTATTTATACCCGCTCAGGATAACCCGTGACTATGAGTCCAGTCCCACCAACAGGCAGAGTGGGTATAGGGGGACTTTACAGGGCCCTGGGTTCAGCTGGATTCTACAGAATCCAAAATTCGTCCTTTTCTATGCACGGGACTCTGGACCGCTCTATCTAGATAGGATTGGGAGGGATCCAGGCGGACCTGGCTCTCCTGAAGCTGTCGTCTGTCCCAGCTCGCCCAGTGTTTCGAGGACCCAGGATCTATGTGGGCCCCACCCCCATTCCTGGAGGTCCTCCAGGACGCTGAACTTTCTTCGTGGGTGGAGGGACCAAGGGGAGTGTCCCCCCTCCCCTAGCTCAAGTTTCCGAAGGGAGACAGTCTGTGCCGCCAGCGAGCAGCCACCACTGTCACCGCCCCTCACACCACCATCCCTCCCTCTTCCCCTGGGCATGACTCTTCCTGGCAAAACCTGATGCACGGACCCCCACTGTATGCCAGAGCTTAGAAAGGGAGACTAGGCCAGCATGGAGACATAGAAGGCCACTCCTGGATAAATGACCTGGGTGTCCTTTATAGAATTGCCCTTCTTGGGCCTGTTGGGAGTCTCCTGAAGCTGGTTGAGAGAACCCCCAGAGGGGAGGGAGAACAGTAGCCAATGATAATAATGCACTTGTCAGTTTATAAAAACAGCACTGTCTGGGATACAGTTAATATTTGCTTTGATTTTTACAACACTGACAAGCAGACATCGCCCCATCTCAGAGAACAGGAGACAGGCTCACAATCGGGAAGTGACTTGCCCAAGGTCACACAAATCTAAGGCAGTCCCAAGGTCACAGAGGAATTTTGAGGCATAGGTCTTCAAGCATTACTCTGTGTTTGGGACTCAAACATCCAGTTTCTCCTCTGTGCCCCGGTTTCTGTTGCGTTCCGTGTGGTCCTGTTTACAATGAGATCCCTGTACAATTCCTAATATGGCCCAGTTTCTGTAACCCGGCATGTTGGATGGAGCCCAGCATCTTCAGGCTCCCACTGGGCGGGAGCTCCTGGAGGAAGGGAAGAAAGCATGATTCATGTGCCATGCATCTCTCTACTTCTGCCTGTATAGGATGGGGAACCCCCTCAGCAGCAAATGACTGGGACCCTGGTCCTTGCTGTATTCTCAGCTGTGCTTGGCTCCCTGCAGTTTGGCTATAACATTGGGGTCATCAATGCCCCGCAAAAGGTGAGGAGCCTGCAAATGGCAGGGCAGGGATGCCCCAGCAAGGAAGACAGAGGACCCCTGGGACGGTGGGAAGGGAAGGAGGAAAATCATTTCTGTGCTGTCTCCCCAACCCCCAGGTGATTGAACAGAGCTACAATGAGACCTGGCTGGGGAGGCAGGGGCCTGAGGGACCTGGCTCCATCCCACCAGGCACGCTCACCACCCTCTGGGCTCTCTCCGTGGCCATATTCTCTGTAGGTGGCATGATTTCCTCCTTCCTCATTGGCATCCTGTCTCAGTGGCTAGGAAGGTATGGGGCCTAAGGGCAGGGATGAGGAGTAGAAGCTGAAGCATAGGTGCTCTGACACAGCCTTACTCTGTCTCCCCACCAGGAAAAGGGCTATGCTGGCCAACAATGTTCTTGCAGTGCTGGGGGGCACCCTCATGGGCCTGGCCAAAGCCACTGCCTCCTATGAGATCCTCATTCTTGGACGATTCCTCATTGGTGCTTACTCAGGTACCCATGGACACCACAGCTCTCCTCTTGTGCCTTGCTATCCACCATGCCTGGGCTTCTGGATGGGACTGGGTCAGCTGAGCTCAGCTTTTCTTCTTGCTCTTACCCAGGGCTAACATCTGGGCTGGTGCCCATGTATGTGGGAGAAATCGCCCCCACTCACCTTCGGGGAGCCTTGGGGACACTCAATCAACTGGCCATCGTCATTGGCATTCTGATAGCCCAGGTGACTGGTCCTGGCCTTGTGGGGGCTAGGTAAGGGTTGAAGTGGACCTTCAGAGTGACAGGCCTAAATCAACTGCCCTCCTTCCTAACTTCCTCTCACAGGTGCTGGGCTTGGAGACCATGCTGGGCACTGCCACCTTATGGCCACTGCTCTTGGGAATCACAGTGCTGCCTGCCCTCCTGCAGCTGGTGCTGCTACCCTTCTGCCCTGAGAGCCCCCGCTACCTCTACATCATCCGGAACCTGGAGGGGCCTGCCCGAAAGAGTGAGCTCTCACCTTGCATCTAGCCCAGGCCTAAGCCTCCACCCCATCTTGTTAGTACTTGGCCTCTTCTCAGGGCCCCTCAGGCCTGACCCTCCCCACCCCCAGGTCTGAAGCGCCTGACGGGCTGGGCCGATGTGTCTGATGTGTTGGCTGAGCTGAAGGATGAGAAGCGAAAGCTGGAGCGTGAGCGGCCACTGTCTCTGCTCCAGCTTCTGGGCAGCCACACCCACCGGCAGCCCCTGGTCATTGCAATTGTGCTGCAGCTGAGCCAGCAGCTCTCTGGCATCAATGCCGTACGTATGGCGCAGGCTTCAGGCTGGGCATGGGGCAGACAGCAGCCCAGGGGAGGGGAGAAAGAAGCAGGCCCCCTTCATTAACACTCAGGGCCAGTCCAGCTTGGTGTTATGGGAGTGGAGATCAGGACGTCCTTGCCATCACCTTTCCTTCTCCCTCACCTCTAGGTCTTCTATTATTCAACCAGCATCTTTGAGTCAGCAGGGGTGCAGCAGCCAGCCTATGCCACCATAGGAGCTGGCGTGGTCAACACCGTCTTCACCTTGATCTCGGTAACTGCTCACCTCTGGAATGGCCTGTGCAACCAGCATCCCTGGGTGTCCTAGAATTCCTACTCCTGACTCTCCCCTCCTACGTCATTCATCCTGAAGGCCCCCGCTAAGCCCTGACTCTCCCGACAGGTGTTCCTGGTGGAGCGGGCCGGGCGCCGGACACTCCATCTCCTGGGCCTGGCAGGCATGTGTGCCTGCGCCATCTTGATGACTGTGGCTCTGCTTCTTCTGGTGAGGCCTGGGGCTTGGGAGACAACAGCAGTCATGCCCATAGGGGTGGCCCCAGAGTCAGCCAGGGCCACACCTTAGCACACATGCCTTCAAACCTGGGGCTATGCTGGGAACATGGGCGCATGGCTCTAGAGGCAAAAAGAACTATGATCTCTGCTCCTGAGGGATATAGGCTGCACTGAGGCTGGCTTCCAGAGATTGCTATAGCCCAAGTCCAGTACCCAGGACAGAAAGGCCCTGTCAAGCCTCAAGGGTAGTAATTCCTAAGGAGCAAGTCCTAGAGCTAATAGGGAAATCTACCATCAGGGACATAAGAGATCGGAATGTTACCTCCGCCTTGGGTCTGTTTACGGTAGCCAGCAGACTGTCAGAGCTCAGAAATGCTCCAGGGCCTGTTCTAGCCCAGGGTAGCGGGTCCCCTACAAGCTACTGAGAAGGATAGATTTTAGTTTTCTGGGTTCCTGAAAGATCCAGAAAGGCCTGAATGGATCCCCACCCTCCCTACTTGGTACCTAGGAGCGAGTTCCAGCCATGAGCTATGTCTCCATCGTGGCCATCTTTGGCTTTGTGGCTTTCTTTGAAATTGGCCCTGGCCCCATCCCCTGGTTCATCGTGGCCGAGCTATTCAGCCAAGGACCTCGGCCGGCAGCCATGGCTCTGGCTGGTTTCTCCAACTGGACATGCAACTTCGTCATCGGCATGGGTTTCCAGTATGTTGCGGTAGGTCCTCTGCCCCAATCTCCCAGTAGAGGCCACAGAGGGGCCCGTTTGATTTCTAGTCAGGAACCTCCCACCCAGACATCTGGTCTTTGGATCACTATGGAATCAAAGAAGGGGGTGGAAATGGATTGAATGGCAACAGAGGTGTCTTTGAAAGAAAGCAGTGGAGTAACTTAGACCAGGAATAAAGTAATACATTTCATGTGAATACTACCAATGGCTGGGAATCTATTCTGAGTGCAGTAACTCAGAATGGTAAAGTGGGAAGAAACTGAAGGAGAGGTGCAGTTCAAAAAAAAAAAAAAATCCTCTTTTCAGTCTAAATTCTTGTTTCTGGTCATTTCAAGGGAGCCACCTGCTTTCTACAGTATTCCCAGCTCCCTCTGAGGGTCTTTAGTTCCTGACATCAATCCTTCCCTCTCCACCCTACTCTGTCAACACCTCTTTCTCCACCTGTCCCAGGATGCTATGGGACCCTACGTCTTCCTTCTATTTGCGGTTCTCCTGCTTGGCTTCTTCATCTTCACCTTCTTAAAAGTGCCAGAAACCCGAGGCCGGACGTTTGACCAGATTTCAGCCGCCTTCCGTCGGACACCCTCTCTTTTAGAGCAGGAGGTGAAACCCAGCACGGAACTTGAATACTTAGGGCCAGATGAGAACGACTGAGGGGCAAGGCCAGGGTGAGAGCCAGCTATCTCCACCCAAGACCCCTCCTCTCCTCTGCAGCACTTTAACCCTTTCTTCCCATTACTTCCAGGGTGGAGAAAACCCTACAGCCTGGGAGAATTGGGAAGCTGAAGGAAAGGGTGGTCTGAGCACCCCCCTCATTCCCCCTTGTGTGATTCTCTTGGATTATTTATATGTCATGGTTAGGCTGTGGCCACTGGGATGGGCCATTGTCCCTTTTCTTCCTACCCCCACCTAGACACCAGAATAGTTTTATCCCTCTAGAGAAGGGGGATTGCAGGAGTAGAGGTTGTCGACTTGCTTTTTTAGTGGGACAAATGGAGGCAGAGAGCAAGACATGAGGTCAAGTTTCCTACCACCTTGGACTCTTCCTGCAATTTGGCACTTTCACCAAATTCTTGCCACATAGCCTCTGGGTGAAGGGGCTTCTGTCTTGACCCCCTCCAGGGCAAAGGACAAACCCTCCCAAATCTAGCCTCTCCTCTCTTCCTGCCAACTCAGCTTTCTGGGGTGAGAGGGAACACAATAGCATGTACTTACATGTGGCAAGAGGGACAGCAGGCGTCCGCCTCTAGACTTAGGGCCTTATCTCAGCTACTCCTGCCAAGTGGAGGCCCCAGCTCTTTCCTCTACTCCCATGCTGGAAGGGTACCACAGGCTTTTGACCAACTAAGGGCAAAAGGGGAATTGAAAGGCTGCCTGTAAACATTAGCTGGGAAAAGCCTTTGGATATTTTTGTATGTGTTTGAAGAAGGAGTAGGGAGCAAAAACCAAAGGGCTACTGTTTTAAATGTGTATATATAGATTCATTGATAAAGTCACTGAATGAAGACAAGTGTCCTGTCGTGAAGGCACTGGAGGACGGGCCGAGTCAAGGACCATAACCTCGCCTACCCATCCTCTTCTGTCCTGCCTCTGCCTGAGGCCTCAGAATTCTCTAGTCTGAACACCCATCGTTCATCCCCCAGTTTGTTGCTATGCACTGACAACAGTAAATGCTCAATACATTAGCTGCAAGTGCAGGGCCCTGCAGCGGAGTGCCATCCCAGTTTAACAAGCAGGGACAGTGAATCTCAGTGGTGAAGGTTCATGTCAAAGCTGCACAGCGGGCTGGTGAGATGGCTCAGTGGTCTAAAGCACCTACTTAGAACAAGCTAAGCAAAGCACAGGGACCGCGGTTCAATCCCCCAGCACCACATGCCAGCCCGCCCCACCCCCTGGTGGGCTGAGCTGGCCATACACACACTAAATAAATAAATATTTTTTAAAAAAAACAAAAAACTGCACAGCTAGGGAAGCTGAGCAAGGAGTCCAGACCAGCCCTGCCACTGCTCATCCCCCACTCCCTACCCCACCTTTGGTCTGCAGTTCTGAACTGAGTTACCAGTATTCCCCAATCCTCTAAAACAGAAAAGAGGCAGAGACCAAGACAAGAAAGCCCGTTTTTGTTTTTACTGGAGGCTCAGGTGGCACATGACAGTTCACTAAATGGCTTCAGAGGTACGGGTGAAGAGGAAACAAAAAATAAACTGGAGTGGGAAAAACAACCAGGAGGTAAGAGCTGGCTGGTTCCTTCTCAGCCTGACTTAGGGTGGGAGTTCACGCCTCTGAACAATAAGGACGGATCCTTTTCTTTAGCCCTTGGTAGGGAAGAGGGGAAAAAAAAAAAAAAAGCAAAAACAAAAGGCTTTTGCTTTAGCCCTCCTGAGTCTCAAAGAAAAGGGGAAAAGCCAGTATTTTGATGACATGAATTACGGAAAGGGGGCAGGAGAGTGCTGGGTAGGTCAGTTGGAAAAACTGGCAGATACCTACGAGAGCAAAAGAAATGGACAAATTGTAAGTGATAGCTTATCACCATAACCCAGTCCCCCGCCTTCTTGGCCACCCACCCTGAGAGGAGCAATCACACACCAGATGGTAGCTCTGGGTGTCCTTTGAGTTGGAATCACTCCAGTATGGTGGTGGTCGAGTCCCCACTGTTGATGGGGGCTGAGTTCTAAAGAGAAGAGTGGTGGCCAATTGAGGCTATTGTACCCTAGAGCTTCCAAACCTGCCTTTAATTTTCCCCTTCCTGCTCTACCAGTTGCTACAGTTCATAATTAGCTGGTACTGCAGCTCCAAGCAGAAATGGAGGTAGGTTCTGGGGGGCGGGGGCAATGATGTGGTTTGACTGCCTCTGGAGTTTCATGGTGTATATTGTGCTTGCTAGGGTGGACCCAGCAGACTACAGAGGGGCAGAGCCATTGGAGGGGTGGAACAAAACAGAGTAAGAAAGGAAAGGATAAGAAAGGGGAATGTGGATCCAGTCTTTCATCCCATTCCCAAAGAATTTTATAGATACCCCAAGATCCTTACCTCTGGGGCTGTGGGCTGCCGGGGGCCAGGAGGTTGCTGCCGTCGCCGCTGGAAGTAGGGGCGGTTTCGTGGGCGCTGAGGCTCAGGCCGGGAACCATCAGTGGGGCCTTGGCTGGCCTTGGTCTCACCATCTCCACCTTCTGTGGTGGGCTGTTGGGGTGGCCTGGGGCGGAAAGGCCTAGGGGACACAGGGGCCCTGAAGAGACCAGGGAGCCCAGGAAAGACCACCTCTCTCCTCAGGGCTTCCCCAACTTTCCCAGACCCACTAGTCCTGCTTCTCTCTGGCACCTCTCACTATGAGCCCCAGGTTCTTAGCACTGTTCCCTTGCACTGGGGCTCACAGCAGGACAGTGAAGAGGAAGGCAGAGCTGCAGAAGGGAGCCTTACCTTCGGTACCTGGGCCGGAATCTGGGCGGTGGCACCCGGTCATCTCCCTGCTGTTGGTCCCCCTCCAGTTGAGCTGTCTCTTTGGGGTCTACACCATCAGTGCCCTGAAAATGCACAAAGGCCTGGGTGGACACCCCCATCAGCTGTCCCAAGGCCCAGGTTCTTTCCAGCACTTAACTCTATTCCCTTTGATCTCTGCCTTTGCCAACTCCCACTTCTGAGATCTTGGGTAGCTGGCTCCCAAGCAGCTTCCTCTCACCTCTATAGGCTGCTGCTGGTTGGGGGGCCGAGGGCCTCGCACAAACCGTCGTCGATAGAAGAAAGGTGGTGGGCGCCGTCGTCTGGGTCGCTGCCCGGAGTCTTCAGCTCGTTCTCCTTCACTGCCCGGTTCTGTCCCAGAGGGAGCCTCTGCCACCATGGGTGGTGGGGCAGCTGGGCGAGGCCGGGGGATGAATCGGCGGAACCTACGTCGATTAGGAGCATAGCGGCTACCCTTCACAGGCACCCCTCCAGGCCCAGTTACATTGGCAGCTTCTGCACCCTGGAGAGGAGAAGGTGGTGCAGTGAGAACTCTCCCAACAAATGTACATCCCCAAACTTCTAGAATCATTAGAATATCATTCTTATTCCAGCCCAAAATCCCTTGTCCAGCTTTCCTATGATTTAACTATGACTTCTTTCTCCACTTCCCAAAGTGGGCGATGGAGTTTGTATCCATCTGGGGAGACGGTTTCCCTTTTGAAATAATTCTATAGTCTCCCAGAGTTGAAAGACTGTGGGGGAGGTAGAGAAAGAAGGCTGGAAGTCACTGTCCATCTTTCATTCCAGATGGCTAATATGGGGGTGGGACTTCATGTACTTGGTGAACTCTACAAAGAAATTCAGGCACTACTCACTGGTGACAGGGACATATTCTAAAGGACATCCAGATGAGAACACAATAATCCTATTCCCACAACCACAGGGAGATTTGACCCCAGGAGGGTCAAAGCCTGGGCCGACCTTCCCACCACCCTCCCACAAGCCTGGCCAACTCTGTCCTCCATAGCAGGACCCAAACCTTCTCTCCTTCCACGACATCAAACTCCACAGTCTCCCCATCGCCAACGCTGCGCAGAAACTTCCTGGGGTTGTTTCTTTTTATAGCTGTCTGGTTGAGGGAAAGGCCATGAGAAAGGTGAGGGCAGCAAGACTGGAAATCTCTCTCACCCCTGCTTTTGTCCACCACCCAAGTCCATTCTTTTACTTAGGGTCCATGGCTGGAGGGAAGAGCACAAAAATGGTCAAGGTTCAGCAGGAAAGGGGCCAGAATTATAGCTCAGTGGTAGAGCGCTTGCCTAATATGCACAAAGCACTAGATCTGAACCCCAGCACCACCAAAACAAAGAGTAGGGGAAACGTCACAAACCAGGGGGTTGGAAATCCACTGTGAAGTTTCACTGTCCCCAGGATGCACTCCCATCCTCCCTTACCCCTGAGGGAGGCAAGAAAGAGGAACTCAAAAAGTAGGTAAGTCATAGGTTGAAAAGTAGGTAAAACGTGTGCTCCTTACCTCAGTCCCACTGAGAGCTCTTTCCACCAGAGCAGTGGTTCTCAAACTAGCACATCAGAGTCACCTGGGAGCTTGTTGAATCAGTGCCCGGCCCAAAGTCTGATTGATTCGGTGGCTTGGGGCAGGGCTTGAGAATTTGTAGTCAGGTGATGCTGCTGATGGTGCAGGGACCACATTTTGAGAACCACTGTACCCAACATTCTCTGGCATGTGTTCTTTCCCTCAGAAACCTCTCATCCCTTCCTATGGTGTTAACAGGTCCTAGTAGGTAGTGAGTGCGCCATATCCAGGGGTCAACACACAGTTCTGACAGAGCATGTTGATAATTCAACACAAGTGGGCCTAATGGTAGGTGATATCAGCTCCTGAGGCAGCTGTTTCTGCATGGGTAGGATGTTGTTGTAAAAGCCAAAGAAACATAGTGTGTAGCCAAGGGTAGTGGCAAAGTCCTTGAAAGAGAGGGCCAATTCCTCCCCTCAGGAAGCCATCCTAGCTCTTACCTGGTGTACAAAGACATCTTCCTTGGTGTCATTCCTGCAGAACAGGATGGGTCATTAAGAGGGTATCTTTGGTAAGGCACTCAGCTCCACTGAGGCCTCCCTGGCTGGGTGGGCCCATCCTCTCCAGCATTTGTTACCTGGGGGTAGACAGGACCCCCAGAAGGCAGGATAAAGTATATTTAAGCCCTCAGTGAAAACCCTGGTCTTCGTGAGGAAAGGGCGGAGGCAGAAGGCAAAGGCACCTTGAAGGAGGTGAGGCAGCTCTTTACCTGCCAAGTGTTCCACCTTCTACCCCAGGGCACTTTAGAACCTGCTGGTGCTGGGCACAGCTGTCCCTGGCCAACACCTCCTCTTCTGCTAACCTTATGGGATTGGAAAATTCCACCTTCTCCTTCCTTCTCGTTTTTAAGGAGAAAGAAAGGAGGGACAGGGGGCCAGAACAATTTTGAGAGGGGACAGTATGTTAGGAACTTGCTCCAAACAGCCACAGAACCTTATATTCTCAGCTTGGAAATGAACCCAAGTGTCAGGCTCCCTCTTGACATGCAGAGGAACCAAGGATGAGAGAAGAAAATACCACTGTCTATTGCTACCTTGCCTATTACTTTGGTTTATCCCAGAATCCCAATCAAGCAGGAAAGAGAAAAGACACTCTTCACAGGAAGCACCTTTCCCAGAACAAATGTTGTAGCTTTAAATGCACTTGAATCCGTACAAAGGTCAGCCTGCTAAGAGGCAACCAGGCCTCCCAGGAGGGCTTGGCTGGGCAGGGTGCCCAGCCTGGGGAAGGCCCCATTGGGAGAGACCTGGCTCTAGTTAGGATTCATCACTACAGCCTCTCCCAAGCTGGGAGGTGAGGGGCAGTCTCTGGCTGGGCTAGCTCTCTCCCCACTACCCCCAGGCCAGCCTTAGTCTCAGCAGGTGGGGGATTCAAATGAGCCATAGCTCTTTAAGGGAGATGAGTCAAGGGTGTAGTGAGTGCTGCCCTTTACAGAAAACCACTGAACATTCCACCCCAGTGCCCTGTGGTGGGAGAACCCCATAAGTCTGCCCCAAAGACACAGAAAAACTGAAAATAATAAAGCTATTCCAGAAAGCCAGAGAAAGGTGGGGAAGGTTGGAGCCAGGTTCGTCAAGTTCCAAGATCAATCCTGTGCTGCCCTTGAAGATGTAGAGACCGTGTCACTCTTGCCACTAAGCACACATTTGCACCGTGGTTAAAAGACTTTCAACCAGCGTCAGCTGGACAGTGCAACCACATGCCGTGGCAGCGTAGAGATGAGAGTGGGAAGCCGTCCAGTCCCACGGGTCAGGTGAGAAGATACCCATCCTTTCCCCCTCCCCGGGCCTTTGGATACCTGTTGATGAAGCCGTAACCATTCCGGACGTTGAACCATTTGACAGTGCCCAGGACTTGGATTGCTGCCAGGCAGAGATGCAGTGGGGACAGTGAGATGAGGGAAGAGATGCAACTGGACTGAGTTGTTATACACTCCAAAATCTACCCTACCTATTAAGCTTACTTTCAAGCCAATGAGGTTTTACTAATAACTTTGAAGTATTATCCCAGTTCTACCAAACAGAATTACCCACAGGGGGAAAGGGGTCTTGGGCTTTTCAAAACTACAGCATGTTCTTCGCAGCTTAAATATCCAGGCAGGCCCTTTACCAAAACTTAACACTCACCTGGCCCCGGAGTGCCACCCTCAGGCCATAACTCAGAACTTTTCTAGCCCTCCCGATGAAAGGGTCCCAAGGGCACCTGCTCCGCAGGCTCAAAGGATTACCTACTGCTCATTCAAGGAGGACAAGTCTGTGGTCTGGGGGCGTGGCCGGACGCTGAGGGCTCCAGCTGTACCCCAAGGCCTCAGCTGGACCTGCCGGCCCCGCCCTCCAGCCCAGGAAAGCACCAGGAGAATCCGCTTGGCCCAGCAGCTTCCATCTCAGCCTGAGCGCCTCCCGCTCCACGGACCGCCGCCCCTCGCCCCCACCCCTCCCCCACCACCCGCCGGACGCGCGCCCCGCCCTCACCCAGCACCGGCTTGTCCGCCTGACTCCGGGCTGGGGGCGCGGGGGTCCCTGAGGCTGCCGTTGTAGGGTTGCCAGGGGTGCGGGAGCCCGGCGCCGTGGCGGTCCCAGCAGCAGGGCCTGAGGCGGCTACGCCCCCGCCGCCGCCTGCTCCGCTGCCTGATTTCTGCGGTTCTCCCGCGGGCACCGGTACCACTACCGCTACCACCCCTGTCGCCGTCGCGGGCACCGTCGCCGCGGGGGCCGCTGTAGCCACCACCGCCGCTTCCGCCTCACTCATCCCGCCGGGTCCAGTACCGGCCCCCGCTGCCACCACCTCCGCCGCCACCGCCACCGCCCGGGCCCCTCCCCCTGGCTCGCGGTCCCGCCGCCCCGCACGGTCCTCGCGCCCAGAGCCTCGTTAGCACGCCTGCAGCGGGTCCCCGGCCTAGGCCAATCGCAGCCCGCCGCTGCGTCGCGCGAAGGCCCCGCCTCCCGACCACAGGCCAATCCTCGCCAAGCAGACGGTGCCTCCCGGACTTCGCACCGCAGCGGAGGCCCCAGACCGCCGCCGCGTAAGTACACCTGGGCCCCGCCCCTCTCGTGTCACGTGATGGCACCAGGCGCAACCAATTGGACGATGACTCCTTTCCCCTCCCCCCTCCCCTTTTCCACCGGCCGCGGGAAATCAAACGGGCTGGTCGCGCTTCAACTGCCACCTGGCCTCTGCGCGAAAGCGAGGAGCCTTAGGCGTGGTTTCCAGGTTGCTCCTGACGACCCTAGGGGCGAAGTCAGCAGCCTCAGCCCTGGCCCCACTCGTTCTACCTTCCAGATCGATCTGCTCATCCACTACCTTCTCCCAGCCACCGCAATTCTTGGGACCTTCTCCCTTGAGATCGTCTCCATCGCCGGGGCTGCGGCATAGGCCCGCAACAAGCTGGGAAGCGCCCCAGAACGATTTTTCCCAGCTCACAGTTGCTCTAAAGCAGCGACCCTTCGTTTTTCATTTTTAAATGATCTCATGGCGGTGCTAGTTAGATCTAATTAACTAGGCTGAAATCGCGTGCAACTTTTAAATTTTGGGTGTAAAGGCTGGAACCTTCTGCATGCGAGGCAAGTGCAGTCCTGAGCTCTCAGCCCAGCCTGTTTTGTTTCTGAGATAAAATTAAATACAGTACACAACATTTCTCCGTGTCGTAAAAGGTCTTCATACTGAGCTACTTCTCTGGCCAAACTCACCAAGTAGCTAAATTATGCAGGCTGGGTTTAAACTTGGGTTCCTCCTGCCTCAGCCTCTTAGAGTTTCGGAATTAGTAGTGTACACCACCACACCTAGCTCTTTGCTCCTATAGCTAACATTCTAACCAAAATATATGTTCCCCTTAGCCCAGAAAGTTCTCTCTAGCTTCTTCCAGGCAATCTCAACCCTCCCCTCCATCAGCCACCTCTGTACTGTCTCCTTACCTAACACTGAGCACTCAGGGGAGGGAGTGCCTTGGCACTTGGAGGGTGCGCTTTAAACAGAGGAAACTTTGTATCTGTTAGGGTGGTCCTCAAGGATAGGTTTATATAGCTCTTCTTACTGTATGTATAGCCTTGCATTCTCTTATCATACTTTTCTTATTGCTTTTTGACAATAGGAAACGATTGTAACTATTTGCTTATTTATTTTACACTTGCACCTCACATTACGCTGTAAATTCCACATCAAAGAACCTTGTAGTTTTTACCTGACGCCTGGAACAGTACACAGTGCTCAATATTTATTTATAGCTTGTGGTACTGGGAATGGAACCCCGTGCTTCACGTATGCTGGGCAAGCGCTCTGCCAGAGTTAACCCCCAGCTCCTCTTTTTTAATACTTGAATTTTTTGAGGACGAATCTCACTAAATTGCCCAGGCTGGCGTGGAGTTTGCGATCGTCCTGTTTTAGCCTCCAGAATAGCTGGGATTACAAATGTGCACTACTCCCGTGGCTCAACAGGCGTGGGATAAATGAATGGCCCACGATCCACAGAGAAGACTGAGGCCTCCGGTGAAGTTTGAGTCGGGTTTTGGGCGATCAGAGAAGTCTGGAAGCCCCAACTCTACCTTCCGAAAATAATGAGGTCCCAGAAGTTGCTTCTCTTGATGGCCACCTCCTCCCACTGGGATGGCAAGCGGCGCTGGACAGTGTGTATTTTTAATCAAGACAGGGCGCCCCCACGTCTCGCAGAGTCTCGGGGCTTGCGCTTTCCCAGCACGCAAGTCCGCAGCCGCGCCTCTCCCGGTGCCGGCGCGCCCTCTGCCGGCCGCTGCTGGAGGCCGCCGGGTAGCGCTCCGGGCCTGGGCTTGAACCGCTACCTAGAGCCCCGCCGACCCCAGTGAGCTGAGGGTTCTGATTTCCAGGGCTTCGGACACAGTGAACAGAGAAAAGACAAGAAAACAACTAAATCGTTAGGAGGCGCTGAAAAGGATACAGAAATGGCCATTACTTCTTTAGGCTGTTAAGGATCGGTTTACCTAGAAGCCAGGCTGGGGGAAGGGGAGCCTGGCCAGGTGTAGACCAGTTAGGGGTCGGGGTGAAAGAAGAGGCCGCTCATAGAAATGGAGGTGAAATTAAGAAAATGTCAGAAGTGCAGAGGAGTGCATATTGCAGGGAACGGTAACTGGAATCAGGTACTCTTATGCTTGCCAGGGAAGCACTTACTCCACTGAGCCATCTCCCCACCCCCTAGTTACTCTCTTGACCTGTAGAACAATGAGCAAAGGCTGCTGAGAGATACGATGAATTGGCTATTCAGTTGAAGAGTTTGTGCATGCCATTTTCCAGTTTTTCTGTTTCATTGTTTGTTATTTAGTTTCTTTCTTTCTTTTTCTTTTCTTTTCTTTCTTTCTTTTCTTTTCTTTTTTTTTTTTTTTTTTTTTTTTTTGTGGCACCAGGGATTGAACTTAGGTCCTTGTGCTTGCCAGACAAGCGCTTATTCCACTGAACTGTCTCCCCAGTCTTTCTCTCCTCCTCCTCCTCCTCCTCCTCTTCTCCTCTTCCTCCTCCTCCTCTTCCTCCTCCTCCTCCTCTTCCTCTTCTCCTCTTCTTCTTCTCCTCTTCCTTCTCTTCCTCCTCCTCTTCCTCCTCCTCTTTCTCCTTCTCCTCCTTCTTCTTCTTCTCTATGCTGCTGAGCTAAATTCCCAGCCCTACTGCCCTACTTTCATATTATTTATTTATTTATGCATTTATTTATTTTTAGACAGGGTTTCACTATGTAGCTCAGCCTAGCTTCAAATTCACAGAGATCCTCCTGCCTCAGCCTCCACATGTGTTGGGATTACAAATCTCTTTCTCTCTGTCTGTCTCTGTCTCTGTCTGTCTCTGTCTGTCTCTGTCTCTCTGTCTCTCTCTCTCTCTCTGTCTCTCTCTCTCTCTCTCTCATTTTAATTACTTTTTTTTTTTCACTGTTGGGGATTGGACCTATCTGCACATGCCGAGCACACCCTCCCCTCACTGAGCTACATCTCCAGCACTAAACTGTTTTAGTATTTTAAAGTACAATAGACAACAAAGGCTCTGCCTTTGGCATTAACTCTCTTTGCTCCCAGCCATCTGAAGTTGTCTCACCTGTCTGTACTCATTATTGAGCTGAAACAAAAATCCTGCCTCAGGGTTTGCCCAGTGCATTCCCATTACTTTAACATCAAATTTCTGGAAAATCAGTCGTTGCTGTCATTTCTACTTCCTCAACTTTCTCACATACCACCAAGCCAACTCTTGTTTCCGGCCCCACTACTCTACTGAGGCTGCTTAGCAGTGGCCCACTACCTGTTCCCAGCTGGGACATCAGTGGATGGCTTTTGGTGCTTTTGACTACATCAGGGAGACTGTGCCTGTCACAGCTTCTGTACTTAACCCAACTATCACCTCCTTTTGTAGCTTGTTCTTCACAAACCACTGTATTTTTTTTTTTTTTGTGACCATCTCAGCCCACCCTGAGGGTGTGGCCGGCATGGCATGTGGTGAGGGGGAGCAAACCTTGGTCCCTAGGCTTGCTGAAGCTTGCCTAAGAGGCACTTTAGACTGCTGAGATACCTTGCTGGCTCCAGCCCCTATATTTCTGGGACTCTATTCTTACTCTCCCCTGGCTTTGGTAACTACATTCTTTTTAAAAATTAAATTAATCAGGGGCCTGGCTCTAGCTCAGTTCTTTAAGTGGCTGCTTCCACAAAGCTGTCAGCCTCAGCTTATTCTAGTTCGATCCCCACAACCCTCCAGCCAGCCAAAAGTGCCCTGAAGGCATTGGAGGAGCAAAAAAAAATAAAAAAATAAATCCTTAAAAATTAAATTAATCAAGGCCCGGGAAGATAGCTCAGTAGAATAAGCACTTACCTAGCAAGCCCAGGCTGAGTTCAATCCCTGGGACCCCCCAAAAAAATAATAATTAAATTAAATTAATCAAAAAAATGTTTTGAGACAGAGTCTTGTTCTGAATTTCAGACTGAACTTGAATTCACTCCATAGCCCAGGCTGGTCTTGAGCTTGTGCCTCAGCCTCCTGAATGCTGGTAGTATAGGCTTGTAGCACCATGTATAGCTGGTAGCAACTTTCTGATGGCTCTCAGGGTCTGAGCCTCGCCTACCTCCTCCCAGACACTGAGCCTAGCACTTTCTTTTTCTTTTCTTTTTTTTTTTTCCCTCCCTTCTCAGTGAGTTAGGTTGTCACTTCTTGCCCACCAAGGGTCATCTTTTTGTGCCCATTCCCCACTTGTAGAACAGTCTCCCCAAAATGCCCAGGCTTAGCACTTAGCATAGCAAAGATGAACACGTGTAATATCCAATTTTTTTTTTTTTTTGGTGGTACCAGGGATCAAACTCAGGATCTTGTGCTTGCCAGGCAGGCACTTATTCCACTGAGCTATCTCCCTAGCCCTCAATATCCAATTTAAATCACATTTGAAAGAGCTTTTAAAAGACAATATTATCTCTGTCTCAGAGTACCATGCAGTTGCCCAGCAGCTTTCCCCTCCAACTTTGTGGCTGTCCAAATCAGTTCCCTGTCATTTTTCTCAGCTGCCAGGGGGTGTACACCTGCAGCCTCCTCGTTCTCTCTCATTCCTAGCCACCGTCACTTCCACCCTCCCCTTTGCAGGCTCAGCTAGCACTCCGCCAAATACTTGACCTTCTCTCCACCCTGTACCTCTGGGTCCCATCTGCTGTATCAGATATCATTACTTGCCACCCACTTCTTGGAACTTCTTTGCTATCTTTTCCTACTACCTAGTGATGATGGTAAGAACAGTCATTCACAAGCATTCACTGTGCACCACGCAGTGTATGAAGTGAGAAGATATATATATATATATATATATATATATATATATATATATAGAGAGAGAGAGAGAGAGAGAGAGAGAGAGAGAGAGAGACATTGGTCATTTAGACCCTACTGCAATCCTAGGGAGTGGGCACTATTAATGTCATCCCATTTCACAGAGAAGGACACTGAGGTAGATTGAAATTAAGTCACCTGGCTGAAGTTACACAGCCAGGCCAGGAACAA